AAGAAACAAACAAATCATACCGCAATTTTCGGGTTGTTCTGTCGTCTTTTTCTCCCGAGCCTCTCTCTTTCGGGACTAGATGAGTCCTTGACAACACGAAGCCTCTCTGAAAGAAAGTCCAACCTGTCGTAGACTTCAGCTGTAAACTGAGCAAGCTGGCTCGACAAGCCACTAATTGCACCCAGCAGTTTCTTCTCGTCTGTGGCAGGAGTGGATAAAACTGGTGGTTGGTGAGGCCCACGAGGAGTTTCTGGAGCTGGAGAGTAGAAATTCAGACGACATCTAGCCATTGCTACAGTTAGCGCGCGCAGAAGAAACAAAGTGAAGGGGGGAGGTGACAAATAAACGCGCTCATCTTCTAGTCTCGCGAGTTCTTCAGTGTGTTGTTGTGACATGACCCTCACACGTGATCTGTCTTGTCCAATCACAGATGATGTTGTTGCCACACCAGTCTCCCAGATGATAAATACAAACACACACAGACAAATTATGCAGAGAATAAGATGGAAGTTCCTAATAAAAAGAAGAAGAACAAAAACCTCGCCGTTTTAGTGAACACTGCAAAACTGAACTCGCCCATTCACAATATTTTTACCATAAGAAGCGCTATCTGAGCAATGGAATTGTACAAAACAATCCCAAGAAGCCAGAATCAGAAAAAGAGCAGAATGTCACATCAAATATGACTGCACCTTTGATGCTTGAAGACCAAGAAGAAAACTTTGTTAATGATGGACAATGTGATGAAAGTGAAGTGGTGCATCCTGAAGACCCAGACAACAACGAATTAGATGAACTGATGGAAGAATCACAAGAAATGTACCCAACTGACCATTCAGACAACGGTAAGCATAAAATTGGCATTCATACAGACACACAAAGGTTTTTGAGCTTAAGTGTCAAAGTCAGTGTAAATGTCTCTCTGCAATCCAAGTTAAAAGATCTCTGTCCAGAAGGTCTTATTGACTTTTTTTCCAATGTCAGTATGTTAGTTTAACCCAAGTTGCTTTTTAACACAACCACCAGGCGTATTATTTATGTGCTTCTTTACAAGCATGTGTAGTAATTGTTTGCAGAAAAATTTTCTTGTGCTTGCTTTATGATTAATCATCACTATTTCTGGTCTTAACTCAGATTAAGTTAGTTCATGGTTACCTCTGCTTTTAAATAATGTTATGAATTAAAATCAAGATCAGGTGGATCATATGGATTGTTTTGTAATGTGAGTGCATATATACAATATATAGGCCTTTTTCTGAAACATCCTCTGCTCTGGTTTTCACTTTTTTATAGATGACACGGAAGATGACCGGAGCATTCATCTTTTCCTTGATACCAGCAGTTCAGACTTTGAGCAAGATGATCACAATGACATATCCTGTGAGTTAAAAAACAGTGTTAAAAAATCCTGATGCGTTTCAATAATCAAGGTTAAAATAAAAAAAAAAAATTAAGTAGGTCGCCTGGATCAAGTTCTTCTTTAGGGTTATTCAGGGCGTAACAATCGTCAGGTTCAATGAGGTATATACACTAGAGAGACTACCCCCGTCAAGAGGCTGAGGCCAAGATATGCTAAGCACGACGCCATCTTGAAACAGTCTACTTAAGGGATGGGGCTATTCAAATTATGGAAACAATGCTGAGTACTTACCAGATTAACAGGTTTTTCTTTTTAGAGTAGCCCCGATTTACATGTACTCTATAACACATTTGCACACACAGATAGTTGAAAGAAAAAGTTTATTTTACCATATTATTTTAACAAAAAAATGTTATTTTTATTAACAACATAGTCAAAACAAGTAAAAGAAAGCAAACTAAAATTATGTTGTCAAAATACAATACAAAAACCAAGGCTTAAAGCATCATTTTGAAAACATTGTTTAGAAATACTCAATAAACTAAAAAAATAAAAATAAAATAAAAAACAAAATTGTGTTCAATAATAAAATTGACAATCATTTGTAAAATAAATGCAAGTCATTATTATTATATATTATTATTATTATTATTATTATTATTATTATTATTATTATTATTATTATATTATTATTATTATTATTATTATTATTATTATTATTATAGTTATTCTGTACTTTACTGTATTTTTTTTTTGTATTTTGTTTCTGTGTTGTTTAATTATTGGCCTTTGAAGACAATGAGCTTAGTCAGTTTCTGATGAACAGACTCTTTTTAAAACTGTGAGGTGTGTAATCTGGTAACCTGTTTCTACATGATGGTGTGGTAACTGTTCACCAGGAGTTGGATGAGGTCTAAGTAATGGTTGTCCATGCCTTCTTGAGACTCCATTATGTTTTGCAAGGCGCATTGGTATAAATTTAGATAAATGAAAATATTACTTCATGTGAAAAATAGATATATTTACTGTAACAGGCTTTAGTAAGCAATCCACAAAGCAAATGTCAGGGTATTTTTCTTTTTTCTTTAGCTTAATAAATTTAGATAAATAACAATGTGTGTTTTGCAAATATTACATACTGTTACAAAACTTTAGTAAGCAATCAGGAGTGCAAATCAACACTTCTGTCTTTGTTATAATGGCACACATTGACTCAACAGAAATACAAAAACACAAACAAAAAGTTTAATTGCACCCTCCAGCAGTGGGAGATTTCATGTAGTTCACGATTGATTTTGATCCATTTCTTGTCAGTACTAATTCTGAACATAAACACAATGCTAAACATAGCCTTCTTATTTAAAAGAAAAAAATTACAGATGAAATGTTATGAGGTCCGAACATTTTCCATTACGATTGCTGCAAGCGAACGCTGCACAGTGACATGGCATTGCAAGTCTGTGTTCAATGGTTGAAGGACTGTGTCAAGATGGATTCGCGATTAGCATACCCAAAGTCACGTGATAGCTCCTTTAGTAAATATACCTCATTGGTCAGGTTGATGTTGTTGATGGTCCTGTATGAACAATGAGGATATTCTGTGCCCTAACGATCATCAGATATCAACCTAACGACCATTAGGGCCATGAACTAGGTGCTGATGTTTCTCTATGAATAGGGATTTTCAAGCGGGGCCGTAACGATCATCAGGTTGATGGAGCTGATGTTTCTCTATGAACAATAGGGTTAATCAGGGCTTGATGGTCCTCTTTTGCACCTTTGTCAAACTGGTTTGTCCATCTGAAGGCACTAGGCTGAGTTTAACTGTAACTCCTCAGGCAAAATATTTCATACAAGGAAGAACCCATCCACAAAACTTGCCTAACTTTTTTTAACCTTTGAAAATAATGTCATATCGTATTCAGAGCTCAAAAAGTATGGAAGTATTCAGAGGTAGAAGCCTAAAATCCTTGCACAATAACTAGCTGATAAAAGTAGTAGAAGTATCATAAACTACAGGGCAGCATTTCTAGTATCAATTGACAAAATTTACTTCACAACAGACAGTTAGCTTAAGAAGATGGAATTGCTTCTTCATTTTGCAGATTTTTATTAAAGAAAATTGCAAAAAAATGCTCATTAGAATTATCTTTAGGTAAGATTCAGACCAAAAACAATGGGTTATCATGAATAGGAAGACAAATTGGGTCATGATTCTGTAGGAGTTCATGATATTATCAGGATGATCCAGGTGTCTAAATTTAGCTTAAAAAGCCAAAATTCTTAACATGTTTTTAGATCATTTATCACAAGTGGTGTGATTTGTATTTCCGTATTATGTGACTACATTCATTTCACAAAAAAGGCTAGCTTATGATGCATGTCCTTTTCGCCCAGGATCCAAATATGTACAGATGTTTTATGAAATGTAATGTTTTTAAACTTGCAGGAGGAAGATGAGGAAAGCATTGCAGAGCTGGAAGAGCAGAGTGAAGCTGATCCTAACTTGCATGATGATGGGGGTGCAAATGATCAGTCTACAGAAAAAAAGAAGACCTGCTGATGAAACTTCTCGCTATGATGATTTTGTCATGGCAAGCGACCTTCACGATTTCTGACAATGCTGTTACATCACTTCTTCTGTGTATCAAAAACTTAATGTGGAAAATGGCAAATGTTCTCTGTGCTGACTCACTGACTGCCTTTGCCAGCAATATTCCAAAGACTATTCTCTTTGAGGTGATGGACAGGTGTTTTCCGTGACAACTTCTTACAATATGTGGTGTGTCCAAAATGCATGACAGTATACTCAGAGGAGGAAACCTATGAAGTGAAACGGGATGGTACCAAAGAGTGCAAGACTTGTGGATACATAAGATTCTACAAACACCCAATGGCTGCGTAGAGAAAGAAATGTGGCTCTGCATTGCTAAGAAAAGCTAAATTTACCAGGGGTAAAGGGTACATATATCCAATACAACCTTACTGTTATAAAAGTGTTGTTCAATCTCTGGAAACCTTTGTGAAAAGACCTGGATTTCAAGAGAAATGTGAAGAATGAAGGAAGTGGAAAATACCTGACGGGGTGTTAAGGGATGGATATGATCGACAAGTATGGCAAGATTACCAGTATGTGAATGGACAGCCTTTTCTGGCCGAGCCAAATAATTTGGCCTTAATGCTAAATGTGGACTGGTTCCAGCCTTTCAAACATGCACCATATTCAGTGGGAGCCATCTACTTGGTCATTTTGAACCTGCCACGTGAAGACCGTTTTAAAGAGGAAAACGTGATTCTTGTAGGACTGATACCCGGCCCTAAAGATCCATCTCTAAACATAAACACTTTCTTAGAACCCATGGTTGGTGAGTTCCAAGAACTGTGGAGTGGAGTTTTTTTGGAAGACAGCTCATTGGAAGACAGCTCATTGGACACCAGGTTTACAGAGCAGCTCTGCTTTGTTTGTCATCAGATATCCCTGCGCCTCGAAAATGTGGAGGCTTTGTTGGACATGGAGCATATAGAGGCAATTCATTTCAAACATTTATTCACTTTTTTTCATTTTCAAAATAAAATCCTTATGTTTTAATGTTTGAAATTATTACTGTTATTAACATTTATTCTATGTCATTGCAGGCTGCCACAAGTGCTTAAAGACATTCAGCAGGAAAGAGTCAGATGATAACACAGATTACTCTGGATTTGAGCGGTCTTCATGGGAGCCACGCACATGAAAAGATCACATACACTACACTGGATTATCCAAGAGGGCTAAGACCAAGGCAGAGCAGAAGAGAATTGAAAACGTGTATGGAGCAAGATGGTCAGAACTGTTTCGTTTGAGTTATTATGATGCCATGAGATTTGTTATCATAGATCCAATGCACAACCTTCTCCTTGGTACAGCAAGACATGTGTTCCGGCTTTGGGCAAAAGTTGGAATTTTACCAACAAAGAGCCTCGAGGAACTGCGAAGAAGAGTGGAAAACATCAAAGTGCCTTATGATGTTGGAAGAATTTCCCTTACAAATTGCCTCCGGCTTTACAGGATTTACAGCAGATCAGTGGAAAAACTGGACTACCATTTACTCCTTATTTTGTCTAAAAGGTGTTATTGACAACAGCCACTATGACATGTGGTTTGACTTTGTGCAGGCTTGTATCATACCATACTCCAGAGTCATATCCATCAATAGATTGGAAGAAGCAGACAGATATCTACAGTCATTTTTATCAAAATTTGTTAACCTGTTTGGCCCACTGCACAGCACCCACAACATGCATTTACATCTCCATTTGAAGGAGTGCATGTTGGACTATGGACCAGTTTATTCATTCTGGTGTTTTTCATTTGAGCGTTTCAATGGAATACTGGGAAAGTTTAAGCACAACAACAGGACAATTGAAGTCCAAATTATGAGGAAATTTCAGCAGAGTCAACAACTTAGTATGCCATGGACATGTCAATACGGTGCTGAAATTACCAATATTTTACAGGGACAAATGACTGGAACTTTGTCACATAATGACACAACTGACATGCTTTATGTTAAGCACAGTGTTTTGGTGTCAGCAAGAACACTTCTGTTGGAAAACTGCACAGTGCCTTTGTCGCCATTCCACAACACAATCTTAGATACACTTGACAAGCATGCAATGTTAAAAATGTATCAACAGATGTACCCTGAAGATTGTATCACGGACATTGATTGCTTTGCCATGACATGCAAACAAGTGACATATCAGAATGTGACATACTTCATACATGGATCCAGAGCAGAAAGGTCAGCATATGTATATGATAAGTGGTGTAGAAACAGCTACAGTTATGAGGAACCAGTCCTTGACCCTTTAGCGGAACTACGGCCAGCCATTATGAAGCAGTTCATAGTTGTTAATGTTATTTAAAAAACTAATACAGTTAGACATGTCATTGCACAAGTTTCCTGGCTCCATCCCCACCCAGACAGACATTTTTATGGAAAGCCAGTAGAAGTTTGGAGCTTGCAGGAAACGGAGACCTCCTATCCAGCATCATTCCTTCCCGTTGAGCGCATTGCTGGAAGATGTGTGGTAAACACATCCACTGTCCGTTAAAGTCAGATGGAAGAAAAGGTGACTGTTATTATGCCACTCTGCACAGTGGTTCAGGTGTAGATTTGTGACGCACCACAACAAAATTAGGAACAGGTTACCGACATTTGAACTTAAAAAAGCAGAAAAACCTTGAACCATGATTTTCAAGTTGAGGTCGACAGCCAGCCGAAGGTCACACCGAGACCAGAAGTTGCAGAAACAGGTTAGAATTCTGCTGAAAGGGAAAATGTGCTACAGCTTCTCTTCAAACTGAAAAATTACATCTTGCAGTTTTATTCCCAAGTTAACTGTTCAGGTTATTTGGCTTTAATAAAAATGAGTTCTGAGTCAAATTGTTGTTTGTTTTACTCAGACAAGACGAAAAACACATCAGGAGGGAAGAGAAGATGAGACAGGACTGGACTGCCACATTCACACACAAAGTTCAATCTTTTGTATGTACAACAGTTGAAGATTATTTGCAAACTCACTTAGGGGGAAAAAAACTTCCTCTAAGGGAAATCGTGTCCAAAGGTTTTGGACATAGACAGGCAGGAGGAAAACCTGTTATTTAGAAGTATTGCCTGAAAAACAAAAGAAATACACTAAAACTTCTTAATCTTGTTTGTTGAGTACCAAAAATCAATTTGCCAAAAGGCCATATATTATCTGCTTTGTTTTGTTTGTTTTTTTTGTTTTTTTTTTGTTGTTGTTTTTTTTGGATTGTCATGTGTTTGATTTTGTAAATAACTCAAAATGCCCCTATGGAAACTTGCTCATAGTTTTGTCATAGATAAAATTATGTCGTCACATATAATGTATGTAGGACTGCTTCTAGATATGAGGGGAGAATTTGTTTTAATCACATTTTGACTGATAATCTTCCCAGACAATATGTCATTAGACTTTCTCCATTACGTTAATTTTATAGTACTTTAAAATGTCATGATGTAATATAAATTAAAATGATTTCTTGTTAATTAAATCTTGGTACAATGTTTCTTCTGCATTTCTTGTGTAGTCACATATTTTAAAGGCGAAAGGATTAAGATTATAAACAATGACAATCTCTTTATAAAAAATATATATATGCTTTACTTTTGGAGTCTTTTACACCAAAAAATCATTGTTAAAATCTAAGCGTGCAGTTTCTGCATGTGAATGCTCTGTCTCCTCAGAGAAGTCAACAAGTCAGTGGGGAGTAGGCTTACCTGATTTGCATTTGTATAGCTCAGAGCAACTGTCTTTACATGTGAAAGCCTCATCTAGACCTGAGGAAAGGAGGGCAAAGTCCACGTCAATTCTCAGTAGTTTTCGACAGTTTTCAGTTCTGACAAATAATTCCTGCTAACTGCCGTGAAACTTGAGATTCAGGGCTATTTTCCATGCGAATAACTGCCGAAAATCCCACTTTTCATGCAGTGGAAAATGTGAAGTCAAACAGAGTTTTATAGCAATAGATCACGCGGTACTTCAGCACACCCTGCTCTTAAAACCTCCTGGAAATAGTTTCTGACCACCAGTATGGAAGAAAAAAAGATTACAGATTTTTCACCTGCATTGTAGAACACCCCAGTATGTTTGATTGTGTAATAATGGTTGCAGCAGCACTGCTCAGACAATGCATCTTGTAGGAGATACCACAACATAACTTCTCATATTTAACCTAATTAATATCGACTAATATTAATATAGTTAATATATGAGGAAACGGGTTCTTTTATTAAGTAAATATTAATATTCACCATCACRTTTATTATGACCAAGACTTGACAATGAGTATCGTAGTCAATAAAGTTTATCTAAAAATAAATGATATTTATTTTACAAAACAATTATTTACATACAAACTCATTGGAAGATGGATAAGGGTTTTTACATAAGTTGAACAACCAACAATTAAGGGTTAAATCTCGTTAATTTGACAACTTATATGACACAACAAGGTTCTTTGATGTTAAATAAACCTAGTTGAGGCAAATTCTTAGTAAGAGTGAAGTAAAAGTTAACTTTAGGTAAGGAAAAGTAGTTATTATGGAGAGTTAACTAGATTTTATCTTATCAATACTGTAAGTAGCCAGAAGGATGGAGCGATCTTTAATGGCACAGCCAGGACTCCGACACTTTGTAATCAACGTTCAGCTTTACCTTTTCAGACGTCAGTCAGGTAAGCTTGGAAGGTGTCCAGATTTCAGACTAGTGAGACCGCTTAGGACCGTACAGGACTGCTCCGGACTCAACTTCAGGAAGTTGATTATCTCTGGGTCGGTCCGGRTRCGTGTCAAGCCGACACTCCTTCGCTTGGCTTCTTCAGATTAAAAACAAAAGCATCTCTCTGCAGTCTCGACTTCAAAGAGAGTTGCTAGGGGGCCCACGACTTGACATTGTCGTTAGGCTAGTGGGAAGATTAGCTCTTTGGCTCATGAGCTAAAACCTTCACCACACTGTTCTGCTCTCTGCTGGGAGAGACCAGACAGTTCCCGGGTCTGACCCGCGTCAGACTCCGCTCAAACTGAACTGGGTGTCGACCGGGACTAGACTGCCGGACTTTTGCCCGTGTTAGTATAGAAAAAATAAGAGAGAGGAGGTAGAGAGAGTAGTCTCTCGGTCGACCTTGGTGTTAACAGGTGTGAATCAGAAAGTTATAGGAGAGTAGAAAGTTCTCATGGGAAAATTGCCTCCCAGACAA